GGAAGGGCATATTTTAGTGTAGCTTCTGTTGATCACACCTGGGGTACCAGGAAATGAACTTGTTTTTCTCAGGACACTGAAGTTCCCCCGCACAGATGGGGGTCAAGTCAGGGATCAGCAGATCTAAGGTGCAGTGTATTAGACTGGAAGGAGTCTGGGGTAGTAGTCAATAAGTCTGAATTTTTCTTTCTAACCTCTTCCACTTGATACAATGTTACGAGTGCAGCTTTTGTAGTCAGACAGGCCTCCCTGGCGGTATTACATTTGGAAAGTTACCCGACCACTCTGAGCCTCAGATTCACCACTTGTGAAACAGAATTCTGCAGACATGAGGGGGCCCTCCCTCCAGTTCCAAGCTGACGCTCTGTTAAACCCTCCCCAGGAAGTGGAGCGGTTCACTGGCTAGCTCCCTGTTGATACCCCGAGAAGCCTTTGATGATACCCATGCTATTTAGTTCATAGTTATATGTTTGAAGGTCCGTCATAGGGCCGTTCAGAGATCTTGGCAAATCTTTGTTTAAACAAGGAATTTCTAGATGCCCCCACATAGAGATAACAGCAAAGGTACAGATATCAGCTCACACTTAAAAAGAGGCTTGACATCCTAAAGTCCCCTGGGAAAAGCTTAATACACGAAAAAGTCTAACTTGCTCAAGGTGAGCAACGGTTGCTTCCTGAAGATTGCTAAACCTCTCGGATATTTTTTTTTTAAGGTGTAGGGGATACTTCCCCCTCCTTCATTGAAATATTTAATTTATTCCTCAAGATTAAACAAGCAGCCATGTCCTAATGTTCATTCAATTTTCGGATAATCACAAAAGTTTCATGAATGTGAGATGCTAGTTACACAAATGTGAAATGAATCTGTGATGAGGATACTAGGGACATGACACAACAAAGTCCCAAAGGCATGTCACCTGGGATCTTAGCTCTCCTTCTGGAACATCAGCAAACAGTTCAAAATTAATGGAGCACGCATGCAACTTGCCGTATAGCTACACTAGCTTGATATTTTTTCCTTCATTATATAAAATCTAATTAGCTAAAGGGCAATTCAAATGAAACTTTTATTTGGGGGATTTGGAAGTATTAAAGCAAAGGGAAAAAAACAAACAAACACTGCAGCTCTCTGGATAGCGTGCACAAGATTACCAACAGCCCTTGAGTGGGGAAATGATTAACCTTGTTATTTTCCTCACGATCCGGGTTTCCAGAGTAAATTGGTACCAAGCAAAAATATTTGGATGCTGTATGGAAAATAACTTTTACAAGGTCTCCAACTGGCATTAAATGTTTTCAAGTATGAAAACATCTCCGAGATTTCTCAACAGGCTGATGGATCCTTGCAGGTAGCACTTTTCTTGTTTAATAGTCCTGCCAATTAAGTCAAATTAGAGATGAATTTTTAACTCTGTGATGAAGGCAGTGCTCATTATAAGAGATAGCAGGAAAATAGAATATCTCCCTTAAGTGAACCGTTGCTTCAAATTGAATAAGTTGAAGAGGAGGAGACAGCCAAACACCTCCATCGATATTCTAAGCTTTATAAACCATGATTTCAACCACTTAAAAGTAATTTAAGAAAATGTATCCTTGAGTTCACAAAATCATTGCATTTATCTTTTGTTGCTATTCTAAGAGATATTTTTGATTAGTAAAAAATTCCAAGTTCTTTTAAATGGTGCTTCCTGATGTGAGCTTTCAAGTCAGTAGACAGTCTACCTTCAACCTCTGACTTTTTTACCTTTAAATTCTGTCATCTGCTTTTTAAAGTGATAATCACTCACACAAAGCTATTTGCACATTAGGCCAACTCTTGTTCCCGTTATGTTTTTTTTCCCTAATATATTGCTTAACATAGTGAAATCACTTGCTTTTTCGGACTAAGGATCAGATAATACATGTTAGAATGTAATGATTAGTTTATCACTTTAACAAAAACACCCACATCAAACCAAATATTAATTTGGATCATCAGAATCAACAAATGTTCACTTGGCTTAAATCGTGAAAGTTTACCTGTAAGTGCACGATACATTTTATTTTAAAAAATGAAACCTGAATGAATTACTGCTGTATCACGTAAAGTAAAAACAGAGCTCATCAGGCTCAAATGGCTACAGAGCTATTTTGGGATTCATTAATTGCTGACAATATCACCAATATTTTTTCAGCCACGGCCAAAGCACATCAAAATGACCGCGTTTTAAATCAAGTACCTTTAGGATGGTTGGGAAGCCTATTTCCTGATAGACAACAGCAGGTACAAATGACCTTGATGGGAAATCTGTTTCAAAAACATTTGTAGCAGATGATCGGAAAGGATGACCACTCTGTCCATGCATTTGAACCTTAATACAGGTGTCGACGGTTTGAAATCCATACTGAAATCTATTAGGCCTCCAAAATCTTTAGTCACTGCATATATAGCATATGTATGTGAACTTATGGCTACATACATCAATAATTCCCATCGATAATATACATCATTCATTGTCCTTGAGATACTCTCTGATGATGGGAGTCTTGCGGGTGTTACTCTATTATAATGGCATCTTTTTATATACTTGGTGGAATTATGTTCATCGATTGCTTCCTTGGGATAAGGGAAAAGCCCTGGCAAAGACCCAAAATTAGTTAAAAATCCAAGCAGCTCTATTTCCCTGGCTTGCACATTGGAAACCCCATTTCTGTGCACTCTAGAACAGGCAGTGAGTCATCTATGCATGAATCCTTGCCCTTTGGAGAGTAAAGGAATCCACCAGTGCAGAGAGCAAGCACCTTATGAGCCCTCAAAGAAGGAATGTGTAAATGCCATTAGAGCAGCCGAGAAGATACAATCATGTTTGATGATTTTATCATAAATCTCTTGACCTTAAAGCCAAGCAGTAAGCAAGCTAGTCGTGTGTGATGCTGGGTGACCCTAGAAGCACTTATGTCCTGTTTGCTGGAGAAATCTAAGGAAACACCCATTGCGCTCCAAGCAGAACAGGCAGAGGCACAACGAAGGCAGGGCACGAGCCGCCAGTTTGTCAGAGGGTCTCAGTTAGACATTAAGGAATTAAATTTTCCTAGTTTCCTGATAATAAAGGTTAATACATTTTCCAAAGGCACAACAAAGCATCCTTTCAGGTCACCACTGATTTCAAAATAAAACAAAGCAAGACAAAACTGGAATTTCCTGATTCAGTGTGTAAAAGGTCAACATCTGCTGATGCTCAGAGATGGGGCATGTGGTGGAGGCGGCCGAATGAGATGTCGGGTGAGCAGTACATTCAGAGATTCCATGCAACACATGACTGACACTCCGAACAGAAACACACCCAGCACCAAAGAACTACTTTCCATCCATCCATTTCTGAAACGTGACAGGCCAGATCGGAATAGCAGCCTCAATTACCCGTCTCAGCTTGCTTCCATTTGGCTCCCTTTTGCTTCAAAATGCATGTGCAAACGCAATTGTCAAGGCCTGAAAGGGTCACATTGTGGGCTATGTATACAGTTAGGCAAATGCCAAGGGAGATACTAAAGCAGAAAAATTAGACTGTTAGAGCCGAAGGTTTTCATTTGCAAGTTCGTAGCCCTGATGCCGTTTCAACGGGATCAGAGAGGAGCTGTATAGCATTAGGCTGGCATCTGAATAGATGTGAACGCTGCTTCTATTTCTGTTTACAAAGTGGCTGATTTTCACAGCATTTAACACGTCTAGTGCTTAACAAATCCGCGTGTGGACTTCCTCGCAAGCTGAAGTAAACAGGGTTGTTCTATAAATTGGAACACTTGACTGTGCACTTATAAAAAGCAGGAAGTGGCTTTATCCAAATTATCGGAGCACTGCTTTTTAGATGGATGTTGAGTATTGGAATGCTTCCACTGTTACTGTTCACATTTTGATCCCTCTTCGTGGCCCAGTACCTATCATGAAGCCTGTGAGGGGGGAGACCCCAGAGAAGATGCTTCTCTTCACTTACAGTACATGATCTTGGCTTCCTCGGTACTATTTTTCAAATCAGTCATTCAGCAGTTGTTCAAAGGCCTTCGCCATTAGAGAGAAAGTGTGCAATATACGAAATATGTGAGATTCTGCTCTGAAAAGTTACGGGGCATCTCCTTAGGGAGCATTTCAGTCTTGGTGTTGAAGTGCCATGGTTTTCTATGTAAAGAGGGAGCTACAGTCTGGTTCTCCCATGATAACTGGGAGAATGCTCTTTGCAATGGAACTAGAGAAGTGTTCCACAGAGGGTTGAAGAGAGAGTTCTCTTTTCAATTGCTAACATTTTTTCTAAAAGATTTCTTGGAGGAATTTCTAGTAGCCTGATTCCCAACTTCTGCATGTATTTTTTATACCCCCCTCTTTTTTTTTTAATCAAACTTGAACCTAAGTAGTCAGGAAAACATGGATCACAGTATTTCAGGAGGAAGAAATGGACACACTGATTATTTTCCCCCTTCATTCCTCCAGAAAGGCTAATGATCACAACCCTACCTCTTCCAGGCCTTCACAAAGACTACGGTTTAACGCATTAATAAAACCCCATCCCCCTGGTTTCATGGTGGTTTTTTTTGAGTTCTAATGAATATGCCTAAAGCATTTGTTGACATTCATTCTCGTTTTCTAAATTATGGTAGAAATCCATATCCAATCCTAGGGAGAGAGTTCAATTTGTTTGTTGGTTACTAAGTATGAATAAATAGGACTGTTTTATTTTTGCTAAATGAGTTACGGTTTCTTGAGTAATTGCACCTCTGTAAAGGTAGCCTTCATTGATCAAAAGTTGTCAGGATGGCACTGCCACATCCATAGAGGAGTTATACATAGATAACTATTTTATCTGTGCTCTCACCGTATCTGTGCAGAGAACAGACACAATAATTCAATTCACAAAGGAAACACTCTCTTACACCAGAAATGGACACTGGGAAAATAGATCTGAGGAGCTGAACAACAAAGCAAAGCTAGCTTAAACTTGGTTTGGTGATTTGTTCTTTTTTTTACTTACTACCAATACTGGAAATACTCGGGATACCTGGAGAGAAAGAAAACAATAAAGAAAAGCTGTTATACATTTATTAGTACATGACATCTTTAACATAATACAAAAATCTCAGAAACTTAACACTCGATAACATTCAGCTCATTAGAAAATTAGCACAGAAACAAGATATGTGTATGTATATATCCATCCATTGAAACCGTTTTGCTTTTATTCTGGAACTCCTTGAACTTACTAGAGCTTGGAAATCAATGCTCAACTTAAACATCTGGTTCAAGACAGCTCATGACATCAAAGATTTCAGGCTTACCTATAAGGTTAATAAACCTTTGTATGTCATTCAAAACAGATAAAGAGCTAGGCTTATGTTCTGGGCACAGAGCACCAAGCATACATTATGTGGACCTGTGCAAATATATCCATCCACATATGCAGTAGACCTCTTTAAATGTGCTGAGTTGCATGTGCTAGCTGTTGAAAGTCATTTGGCATTTTATTTGATTAACATCACATAACCATCATTTTTATTCCTCTTTTACTTGTCAGATATGTGGATTAAACTCTGTAACAGAAGCAAAATTGAGCAGAATAATTCAAGAATACATTAGGTTGTTCACATTGACCATGGGCTTCATCAATTTTTCAGCTTCCACTTTAATTTCCAGGTTGTGCTAAGGTGGTGGAACCATTTCAGTATGTGATTGGACTTGGTATAAATGTGGGCATGTATTTAGTCTATATCCAGATGAAAACTCCTAGGCAAGAGCAGGCTGACTCGGTTTGAAACTTTGCTCTTACACTCACTGACTGTGTGACCTTGAGGCAAGTTGTTTATGCTCTCTGTGGCTCAGTTTTCTACCTCTTAGGGTTGTTGCAAGGATTACATAAATTTACATATGTATGTATGTATGTATGTAAAATTAAAGCACTCAAAGCATTGCTTGGCAGGTAGTATGTGCTACGATTCGTTGCTATGATTGCTATTATTGATATAGTTGGTTCATCAAGCAAGCAACAGCATAATAGATATAACTAATTAAAAGTTAGAGATTTATATCATTCCCACTAAATTCGAGTAACGGTGTGGGTGAAAGCTAGAGTTGCGAATAAGACAGAACTGAGTGAGAGTCGTGCTTTGCAACTGACTAGCTGGGTGATTTCAGGGAAGTTCCCCCTCTCTCTAAGTCTGTTTCCTCACCTGAAAGGGGCCAGTAAGATCCACTGCACAGGGCTGCTGCGACAACTGAATGAGATAATCCATGAGAGGGTCTAACACATGGTACATAGTCAATAAATGATAGCTGTTAATGAGCTGTGCAGACTTGTTCTCCACATCACTGAAGTGTACTAACAGGTGGTAAGTGTACGAGTCATTAAATTTCTATTTTAGTATTTATCTTTGAACAACTGCCTTCTGATTATTTTAACTAATCATCGAAACTTACTCAGAGATTTCTAGCTTTGTATTCTTTAAAACCAAGAGTTATTTTCCTATTTCTTAGTAGGGAGAGGAGAAGGAGGAATTAAATCTTACCGTGATGGTTTTAAAAAAAACCCAGAAGGAATGAAATCTTATTTTCAGTTATTAGATACATTGAAAATCTCTTGATTTTAAATGCACAGAGCTTATGGTGCTTCGGCTTAATTACTGATCAACTAAAGCTGGAAACTTAAATTTTCATTTTCATGTTTTAACTACCTCTAAACTGAACTTCAAACCGATGAGATTTCTGCAAAGGGTGGCTGGATTACTGACCCGACATTTCAGGAGACTATCTTTGCCATAGTGTGACAGTGACTTGGTGCTGAAATCTTTTTTCTTTTGTGAATCCCCTGTTGAGAGAGCTATGACAGCAGCATCGTAGTGTTAGTATCAATTGCAGAAGCTCCAAATTTCCCTGTGATTGAAAATCCTGCTCCATTGCAAGAAACTGCTTGCCTCTTTGTAATCCGTCGGAGAGAATGGAAGTTAGGATGTCAAGAAGAGACTTTCCTTGTGTCTTCAAACTTGCATGGAGTTAGAGGGCATGCATCATGCAAGGTGAAGTTCTCAGGGTGTCTGGCCAGACACAGTGGAGAGCAAACCTGCAAGACTGATGGAATACTTGCTGCAGTTGAATACTTTAAAAAGATGCAAAAAAAAAAAAATGTTTCCATTCCTCTGGGGACGCCAGTGCAGGGGAGAAATGTTCACTGCAGCCATGCAGACCTCGCCAAGCATGACCATTATGAGATCCTATTTTCCTCATGAAGATGTTTTCTATTAACATTCGGATGCTTAAAATTCAGGCTTTTCCTCACTTTGTGGCTTACAATTTTCTGAGGTGCTGCTAGATGAGTCACTTTCTACCCCATTGCTGTAAAATGGGAATTGCTTAGAAAAGACTTTTAAGCTGCTCATTGGAATAAAGATTTCTGAAGTTGAAAATACCTGAACACCAAGGAATGTCGGTATTTTGTCCAGTGTTATTTTTTTCCCCTAAGGTTTCTTATTACAATGTTCAAACACTTTGCTTTTGGTCCTCTACAGACAACTAAAGAATTTAATAAACTGGTTATATCCATTGAAAAAACTACAAGCAAATCATGAGAAATCTTTCAAATGCCTAAGGAACTAAGGCAGGAAGGCTACAACTCATTTCATGAAAGATGAATTTCTTCGGGGTCTGTAAGGGATGAATCAATGAATGCAATTCCATCTTACAACAGAGATGGCTGCCCATACGCCACAGGAATGAGAGTCAGATTATGCTCAGGAAGAATGTTTAGACGCCTGTCAGCAGTTTTTTTTAATATTCCCTGGGAAGTGACAACTATGAAGTAAAGACTATTTTTACTTTTGAAATTGAGCTCAGAAGTCACTTCTTCCCTTCCTTCTTCATCTCCCTGATGTGCACCAGCCACTGTCCTTTGTGATGGCACACCTCTTTGTACAGGCCTCTGTGAGCAACTTATCAACTTATCTTTATGATTGCTTGTGTGTTTTCCCGAGACCTCTAAGGGGACAAGCGCCACGTCTGTATCTCTATTATCAGCCAAAGGACAATGCCTGGTATGGAAGAGCTGCTCAATGTGTATTTGAGCAAAAATTTATCACTTGCTTCCAAGAAGGTTTCTATCAGAAGCTTTTGGACATCGTATGATCTCATCCCCTAGAAATGTTCCACTGAGACATATCTCAGAGTTCAGTATTAATAAATATTTTTGTTCTCTTTGAAAATTTCCTCCATTCTGAGAGCAAGAGTTATACAATGTGCAGATTATGTCTCTTACCACTTTGCCTTCTAGGAAACTCAGAGATTCAGAGGCCAGGCGGATGCTCAGCTGGGTAAACTCATTAATGTTTGGCTTATTTTGTTTCTATTCTTCTTCTCACACCTCCTTCTTAAATGACTAGTTGTACGCTTTTATTTGTATTTGTCTTTTTTTCCTAAGCTAATCCAGGAGGAAATGCAGATTTTGTGGGGCTTCTAGCAAATACAAATCTGGGAGCTCTTTTTGAAAATATTAACTTTAAAGTATAAAATTAGACATGAAATTACTTTTTTCTTTAATTTAGAAGGAGTCTAGTGAAGGACCCTGAAACTTAAGCTTCATTAGCTTAAATCTATTTCTAAGCCTACCTGAAAAATATTTAGGAAAGATAGATGATTGGTAGATTTAGAAAGGAAGGGGGGAAAAAAAGGATACCAGATAAGCTAATTCAGAAAGTGATAAAAAATGGAAATCTGAAGAGTTAAGAAATTATCTTATACAGCCATTTCATTTTACACAAGAGGAGGTCAAAGGCACAAAAAGAAGCAAAGGCCTCATCCAAGTCAACCCCTTTCTGGTCAACATTGGCGCAGGAGCTTCCTAATCTGGAATCTTCCTGTCTACGGAGACATTGCTAAACTTGCACAGAGGAAATGACACACAGGCATGAAAAATCTTTAAGGAAAGGTTCTGAAATACATGTTATATGAGTTAGGACTTCTGCTTCTTCCAGAATAGAAATTCTCCTTCAGTCAGAGATATACATACACACTGAGTGAGCCAAAGGGCCAAAAGAACGTGAAGGTGCTAAGCTTGTAGGTACTTGCAATCTTTCCCTCCTTGTTCAGCCCTCACCACTCCTATATTTATTTTAATGTTTTTTTAAAAGAAATTCTACTGCAGTTGAGGAAACAGAACCTACTAGAATTATATATAGTCTCCTTTTTTTTATTATTATATTCTCCTTTTCCCCCCCTCCTCCTTCTATGACTTCTTCTTCTTTTTCAGTTTTACTAACCCTCCCACCAAGTTTGTGGCTAAAGGGGACAGAGTCAGGCCTAAGGAAGTCAACATGATGGAGACCTCAAAAATGAACACTCTGATGTTTCAAAGCAGATGAATGCAGTGCTGAAGGCCATAAGTGCTTTTGAGAATCAATGGAAAGTTTAGCAGCTTTTCATCAAGAAGGAAGCAGAAGGGACAAGGATTCAGGATGCTTCACACTGAGAGGAAATACCTCCACTGTTGAGCTAGATGGTTTGAGAAAAGCCTATCAAGTACATGACTAGACCTTCTTCTAGCCAGGCTGCAGCCACTGGGGGCGCCAACTTCAAAAGGCCCAGGTGAAGAAGAAGCAGGTGATGAGTGAGGAGACATTCTGCAGCCTCATTTGTATTCCAGAGGAATTACTCCCTATTTCCTTTCAGTCCTGGTCCCTGGTGCAAACTGCTGTTGATGGGAACTTGAAGGAAATAAGATTGCTGTCACGAATCATACTGTGAAATCCACACATAAATGATCCAGTCAGAGATCGCTAAGTCATCTTACAACAACAGAAGGGCTCTGGGACCTGAGTGTCTATGACACACTTGACAGAGGCAGTATTAACCCAACTTAGTGTATTAACACATCTGAAGATGGGAAGAAGAGCTGGTCAGAAGGTGAAAGTCTACAGAGAAGAGCATCCTCAGGCACACGGAAGCAGTGCTGGCCGAGTCCAGTCTCAGGAAGAGGGAGGAGTGACCTGTACACTCTCAGGTTGTCAGTGTTCTGTTAGT